GTACAGGAATGTAGAATTTAGCTGTATTTAAAGATATGCCTTAATGTATTTGTGCACTTTGGCCCAGTAAAATGTTTCTGTGGGAAATGCAGCCATATAGTTATAATATTTCCTGGCTTTCTCTGTATTAACTTTGGGATGAATCTACTACTTTTCCCAATTGATTGCTTATTTCCGTTTTTATAGAGAAAGTATTTTCATAGCTTTGGCATTTTTGTTAAAAGGTTTTTCTGCCTTAAAATGTAGGTTTTGCCTCCTGGGTTTGATACTGTGCATATTTATGACAAACAAAGGAATTTTCCATCCCGTTAAAGTTTCAGCAGATAATTTCAACAGCTGATTCTGAACAAATTAAATGCTGTTACTTGGTGAAGGGTCATGAAAAACTCTCTGGTCTTTAACAGGATGCAATACCTTTCATTCGGTCCTTAAATAGTTTTTGATGATTTCTCTGCCAGTACTGGACAAGACAATTGCTGGCTAATTAAGGACTTACTCAGCTACTGTTGGAACAAGTGGAGTTCAAGAACTAAAAAGCCCTGTGATGGCTCAATCATCTGTTGCAAAACAAAGGCAAAACAAGTGAAAAAGAAGGTCAGAGCATGTGTGCAGGTATTTATTGGCTTGGTAAGAATTGTATGAACTGGTGTTACAAAATGCCCAGTGGATATATAAGAAATAGGGTAATTGTTCTGAGATTTTTATCAGCTCTCTGTTGGTCTTCAGTCTTTTTGGCAGTTTCTGGCATTCAGTAACCTTCCTTAGTGAAATACAGAAGAGAATAGAGTTTAAATTTAGTGGATGCAATATAGAAAGCGTTGGATAAGACAGCATTTTTTTTCTGAAGGGCATTTTCACAACCCCCTGTGAGAATGGAAAGTTCACCATTCTTGTGCGGTTAAGAGGAATAAATCTTAACATACTTCAAATGAAAAGCAGTGAAAATTAGATGGGACCTTGAGACCTTTTTCATTCAGTTTTGTTGAGGTGTGGGCTTCAGTTTAAACTGAAGACAATTTGTGTGATAGACCCTTGCTTCATTACAAGAAGAGAGAAGAACATGACATTACCTCAAAGAAATTAAAGTAAAAAAGAGATGTGAGAATAAAATCTGGATATTATGTTTATGGAAAAAATGTTCTCTCAGAGAATTTGGAATAGAAATTCCTTAGAAAATAGATATTTGCAGGTTTCTAAGACTAACAGAACTGCAGTTTGCCTTTTGTTGGATACAGAGCTCAAATAGAAATAATAGCTGAGGTGTTTTTATCCAAACTCCTGTTTTTTCTTCAGACTTGCCTTCCCAGAAAGTCCCACATAGAGCCCTTAAGTTCTTTTAGATTATCAAATACAACATCCTGTTCAATTCTTCATTACTACAAGGAGTAGTAGGCTCTCACAAGAAGTTACAGCCAAGGATCACTTGTGTACAACCTGTACTGTTTCTTAATTCAAAAAGGTCTTCTGTCTTACAGGGCCTACAAGTTTAGTAGTGGATTGTTACGTGGTGGTTTGCTGTTGTGGTACCTAAGTCTTAGCAAATCGAGTGTGATGGAGGGAGCAGAACCAGCACCTGAGAGGAAGACATCTTTATCATTTCATAGGTGTGGAGCTGTTCCTGGGCACAAACATTGATCTAGAGAAACTCTAGTGAGCTTCACCAGAAGCATGACCAATGGAAGGCATTAGCTTCAGGCCCAGCAAAGGAGCAGCAAGGTAATGGTGGCCACTGTAGTGTGAAGTGGGTTTTTCAGAGGCCCAGCATTTTGGCTCTGTTCCCATCCTGGGGTGCAGCACCATGGCACCTGGTTCCCTAAACTGGAGGTAAAGATCAGGATTCTTCCCATACAGAAGTGTGTGCTTCCCTGCAAAGTGTGTGCTTTATGTGCCAGCTGCAGTTTTGCCTTTGAGTTGTCACATAAAAAGCGATAGGTATTCCCTCGTAATTACACCGCTCTGTAGTAGAAGCATGCCAACTTAGGTTCAAAGCGTTTTGAGGCTTGATACAATACATCTGAATGATGCTTAGCAGATAGACAACTAAAGCACAGCAGCTGTCTCCATTTATGCATCCATTTTCAATAATTAATTGGTTATCCTATGACTTTTAATTGAATGAATAGTAGTACAAGTTTTACAACTCCTGAATTCAGTATGATCAGAGAAGAAGCTGTTGTTTTTGAATTTGAGAATAGTAAAGCAAGTTCTGGTAATACCAATACAAAATAAGATGTGGTAGTAAAGTCTAATGATAGCCATTAGAATTTTACAACAATTCTTACTGTCAGAAGCTCAGAACAGCTTATGGACTGTAAGGAATCAATCTGGACAGTTGTATTTGCACTTCCCGGTAAGTGTGGGTTTAGAATCAGCCAGGTATGTTGAGAGGGCCCTCCAGGAGCCTCTGCTGCAGCCTCCCATGGGAAGCTCCTTTCAGAGCAGGCTGTTTAGTACTCACTTAACCTCTCCTAGGCCCAGTCACTGCTGCCCAGAGCTCTGGGTGCCCTATTCTTGGAGGTGCCCAAGGCCAGGTTGGGTGGGAGCCCTGGGCAGGTTGCAGCTCAATGATATTTAAGGTCCCTTTCAACATAAGTCATTCTATGATTGTAGATTTGGAGAACAAGAGATATTCTGCAAGCTGGTGCGTAGAAAATCTCAGCTATTCCGTGACCTTCTGGACCTGACTTAAGTGCTCACCTCACTCCCTGCAGGTTCAACAAGCCCAAAGATTCTCTCATAAGAAGCGACTCAGGGCTGCTGCAAGTAGTTTCTCTCTCTGTTACAAACACAGCGAGGAGTTTTGCAGTGCTTCGGAAGAGAAAGCAGCAGTACCCATGCAGGGCAGTATGTGAGCAGGTGAAGGCAGAGGCGGGCAGTGCAGCTCAGTGCCATGGGGTCTGGCAGCACGGCCTTGCTCCCACTGGGAACCTTAGCTCTGTGGCTGCAGTCCTGCAAAAGAGCACAGGAAGCTGATGGTTTTCCAGTGACTCAACGGAGTTGTTGGGCTTTTCTGTTTGTTTGTTGCTCTCTGTCAATGCCAGTAGCGAGTGAACTTTCTACCCCTTCACTGTGCTTCTTGTTGAAATGTCCAGTTCTTCCCAAGAATGCGATGCTTCATTGTTGTCATTTGGAGCGGTAATTTATTATTAATTATTCTTTCACAGTTGAGCAATCGTGCTACAGCACTGCATTTACCCTTTGCCAACACACAGATGGATTATTTGCAATAGTTTTGGGTAGGTACTGAATGTGGATTTCTGAGCTTCAGCTGAAGAAGGATAATTCCCCTGCTGCCCCCAGCCAGAAGAAAACCAGTGATCTGCTCAGTGCCTGCTGGAGAGATACAAGATGTGTGAAGCTGTGAAAAACAGCACTGATAATTTTAGGGATTTACATCACACAGAAAAGGGATGCACTGCCACAGCATTGAGAAGTTGCCCAGTTTGTGCTGGGCTGCTTTTCACCTTCTGTAAGAGCACCTCTCTCCATCTTATCCCATATCCTCAAACGCACCTGTAGAGATCTGGGCACTGTCCCCTCCACGTGTGACCTCAGGTTGCCTCTCCGGGGTGCTGCCTTGCAGCAGCAAGGTGATGGCTGTAAGGACTCACTGCTACCTGCGTTGCTTCATCTTTAGTGTGCTCTTGTGTTTGTTCTGTCAGGGCTCTGGAAAATAAATAATCTCCTAAAGTTTCCAGACTTCGGCATATTAAGCATAACAATCACGATTGCTATAGAAGTAATTAGCACTGTGGTTCTCTCTGAATTCACACTTTCCCTTAAGCAGGTATAATTTTTGGCTGTGTGGTAGCAGTGATACTGGTGCAAGGTCAGCTTCCAGCTCTGCTTCATCAGCTCCTGACTAGGTTTTGGGCAGGCAGCACGCTCCCAGCACACCTGTGCAGTGCAGGCTGCCGTGCAGAAGAGAAGTGCTGTGCTGCAAAGATCCATGACCTATTTTCACATTGTGCAAGTCCCCAAGGCCCTTTTAATACAGTGAGATAAATTGTCTTTTAGAAGGTGCTGAGGATGAGCAAGACGTGTGACTGGGGCATGTTTGGTGATGCCTCAGTCAAGGAGTTAAGCCCAGATTTAAACCAGCTGTGAACAGTCAGTGCTAAGAGTCCATTAAAACTACAATCTACCAGGATAGTTCCTGCCAGAATAGGAATTTCTGATTTAAACTTGGTGAATGTGTGTTCTACCACTTGTATCATCATGGAATGATGCTTCAAAGGCTGATTCACACAGGTCTGCCTGCTTTTCTTCATTCTGTTGCATTACAGGTGCCCCGCGCTGCAGGAAGCAGACAGCCGAGTGCTGCTTGAGTGCTGATTCCCAGCCATGACCTAGGGCTTCTGTCTGATGGCCTGGAGCTTTTCGTACAAAAGTTGGATAATGTTATAGCTGTCCAAAGAAGGTTTATTGAAATCCTCTATTTAAAACTAATGCTCGGAGTTTCTGAAGGATGTGTGGCATTTTTATTTTCAGTATCGTAAACATGCTCAGTCACACAAGTGATCACAGCGCGGCAGTTTTCACAAGTCTGTTCCATCCACAGAACTGCACAGTGTGTTATTCCCATCAGGAGGAATGGGACTTTACCCCTAGACTTAATGGCATACAGGACCAGAATGCTCTTAGAGGTAGAGCTGGAAAAATGTGCCCTGAAGAGTTACTCTCACACTCTGGTCACAGTGTCTGAAATATGCTGTGTTGGCTGTGGCTTTAGGGTACAAGCTGTGAAGCACAAAAGTCATTTTTTGTGTAGCAGCATCACTTCAGTGAAATTTTTGTAAATTCATATCAAGCCTCTTTATTTCTATTGAAATCAGTGTTTTGCTTCCATGAGGAAGGCTTCTCTTGCACAGTTGTTACAAATGGTTGCTGCGTTGTTTTCTAACCTGGGTGAATTCTTGTGACTCTCACAGATGTTTATTATCTAAAAAATAAAATTAAAAAAAAAGCAATTTTTTGTTGTTCAACTTTTCTTTTTACAGCTGTTCAGTGAGAAGATAAGTGGAGCAGAAGGAACGAAATTAGATGAAGAATTTCAAGAGATGGAAAGGGTAAGGAAAACAACATGTGTTTTTCAACATTCTGCTATTGCAGAAAAAGGGAAACAATGCACATAAAAGATTTTTATAGCACTTAGAAACATAAATGGGAAGGCAGTGTAAACTCCTGATTTAAATGGCCCTGACCCCAAGACTGTGAGCTAGGCTATTTTTGATCTTTTTCACCTGGTGAGAGAAACAGTCATAGTAACAACTGTTGGGCTGGCAGGAAAACACAGTCTGGAATGCATAAGCAGTGTTCAGGACTGATGAGCCTGAAAGATAAGTAGCTCCCCCTGTTTTAATAGAAACGTTTGCTCCTTCTGAGTGCTAACTGCCAATTCATGTATTTTTGGTGCAATCTTGTCACAAACAGATTTGCTTTATATATTTTCATAAGCAGCTAGAGTAGGGTATTTAATCTAACTATAAATTTCTAGAAATAGATTTGCTTTTACTAACTATGTTACTTATCTTTTTCAGAAAATTGATGTTACAAACAAAGCTGTGGCAGAGCTTCTGTCAAAATCCACAGAATATCTTCAGCCAAATCCAGGTACTGCACTAACAGTAGGGGTCAAATTTTGCTGAAAGTTATCTTGTTACTCCAGATTTCATCCTAAGTGGATAAAAGCTGATTGGATTATTACTGTGAGGCTTCTGGATGTCCCAGAGTACCTCACCTATGTGTACAAAGAACTGTACTGTACAGTGAAACTATAAAGTATTCATGCATCCTGGGATGTGTTCAGCTAGGAATGCACATTGTGGGGGCTTACTGAGCACGTGTAGGTTGTGTGTGTGTGACATGTATTGGATGGCCTGGGATGGAAACACAGCACTACTGGTGTTCCTATTTGTGCTGCATTTCCTGCAGTGGGATGTGGATCCCTGAAGTGAAGAGAATGCCATTGAATTTAACTCATGCACTGCTGACATCAGGGGTACTGCAGGTTATGTAGCTATGGGGAACAGGGCTGTTACATTCCTGCCCAGTGTCTGAGTGAAGCTTTGCTTTTTCTGGACACTGTAAGGTCTGAGTGGATTTTTGGTAGTCAGTTAACAGGTTTCTAAAATTTTGGTTTGAGAAAGACAACACATCTACTTTTACTGTTGATCACAAAGATTATCTGTTAAGAGTTGGAATTACTGTCCAAACTATCAGTTGGAAGAGCCTTCGTTTTTTTTTTTTTGAGAACTGTCTGACTGAATTCATGTTTACTCTGCTGAATGTGGTGATTTAAGAGATAGATGTTTGTTTTGGGTACCTTACAAGATGCACATCACCAGAGAAATTCAATATGTTGCTAATGTCTATTGGAGAAGCAACTAGTGGGTTGTGCTTACAACATGATGAGAATATTCAGCACTTCAGCACGGCCCAGCTAGGGTATTCAAGATGCAGCTAGTGAGCATCCATGCTCACATTTCTTAGGAATTGTCCTACCCTTGGCTATTACTATGTTGAAGTAGCTGTTGAGTTGATAATAGGAGTAGACAGGAAAACATTCCAAGAATAACCACATGGTTTTGTCGTGATATGAGCAGCCCCAAAATAAAGTAATTTGCATGCATCTGTCCTTTCTGCAAGAATAAAAAAGTCAGTCTTGAATATTGGAACCATTAAAACAGTGGAGGAAAGAAGTCCTACAAAGTCCTCATAAGCAGGAGCATGAAGTTGGAGTTGGCTGTACTTTTATGAGCCCATTCTGTGTTTTCTTTTTGTGGTGTTTTTAATAGACCTCACAATCAGAAATAGCCAGGGGAATGTGAATATTGGTGAATATCCACAAGAGGCAGGAAGCATTGCCCCTGTGTATCGGTCTGGAGAAATGTTGCCCATCCAGCTGAGAATAAAGCAATTTCATATGACCCTGACTGCTGAATGTAATCTTGCTTCAGCTTTTGAATATGAAATACTGACAGCAAAAGGTTGATGGGTCTATACAAACCAGTTCAGTGACTTGCTTTGTGAGACTGCTTGTTAAATGATTTATTGCTTTAAATATATTAATATAAAAACTGTTTCTATAACTCTTGTTCTTTTTCATGTTCATGTCCTTTTTAGCATACAGAGCCAAGCTGGGAATGCTGAACACTATGTCAAAGATAAGAGGACAAGTTAAAACTACAGGCTATCCTCAGACAGAAGGACTCCTAGGAGACTGCATGATACGGTATGGCAGAGAGCTTGGCGATGATTCTATGTTTGGTGAGTTTGTGCACCTCCTTTGAGAATATTTCCGATAAAGTTCTTCACAGAATATTAGTCATTGACATAACCTGTGTAAATAGCTAATCCAGGTAAGAGAGCAAGCTAAGTACGGTGATTAGGGAATGATTGATATAATAATACCTAATGCTTCTGTGTATTTGTCCGCCACTGTTGCAGGTGGATTCTATCTGTAACTAATTCTGTTTCATAGTTGATATTATTAAGATAAATATTTTGTTTCTAATTTGCCAAAGAATAATTTAGAGCAATCCATATATGCAATGTATTAGGTTAGATATTAGGAGGAAGTTTTTCACACAGAGGGTGGTGATGCACTGGAACAGGTTGCCCAAGGAGGTTGCAGATGCCCCATCCCTGCAGGCATTCAAGGCCAGGCTGGATGTGGCTCTGGGCAGCCTGGTCTGGTGGTTGGCGACCCTGCACACAGCAGGGGGGCTGAAACTGGATGATCTTTGAGGTTCTTTTCAACCCAGGTAGTTCTATGGTATCTGGGAAGCAAAGATTTTCTTGATGAGGTGGAGGAGGGAGAGGGAAAGGCAATTACTTTCCAAAGGCCTACAGCAGACGCAAATATACCTCCTTAAAAGAACTGTATTATAAGATGTGGGTTTTGTTTGTTTTTTTTTTTGAAGGGCTTAAGGGAGATGGGGAGAGGAACACAGGGTGTGCTTTGGAGCAGAATTTTCCAGTACTAATTTTCTGTAGGAGTGCATTATTTTTCACTTTTCAAGGGCTACAGCAAGTGCAAAGGTGCCCACTTGAGTTTTGTTGTAAGATGCATTTGTTGTTTCGTGTATACTGAGATATAAGCAGCACATTGTTTACCATAGGCCTTGCGCTGCTGGATGCTGGTGAAAGCATGAAGCAAATGGCAGAGGTGAAGGACTCGCTTGATATTAATGTCAAACAAAATTTCATTGATCCCCTACAGTTACTGCAGGACAAAGATTTAAAAGAGATTGGGGTAAGTTTATGCAGAGTAAAGCTTCATTTACCAATAATCAGAGTCAATCAGGCTCCAGTTCTCTGGGACGTTTTTTTTGGACACCTAAAGGTAAATAAATGTCATTACATTTAAGCTTATTTCTCTGGCAAAGTAGTGGTGAAATCTGCTTACAATCAATGTCTGGCTGTTTTTTACCATACTCTAGCTTGCTCAGTTTGTTATGTTGCCTATGCGTTCAGTAGTGAAGAAAAATATATTCCTTTTCTACTGTTTTGTTTTAACCAACACTTGTTATTAATTGATCTGAACACGTGAGTAGGCTGCGATTTACTTTGATTATTCTGTCTTGCTGCCTCTGTCACCTATAGCTGTTTATTATAAAGGCTGAATATGATTGTTGAAGAAGGCTGTTCAGAGCAATCACAGAATGATCTGAAAAGTGCCATCAATTGCTGGGTGCCATATCCCACTATGGGAAAAAATATAGGATGGTGAGGAACATATTTTTAACCTTTAAAGTGAGGTTTTGTTTACAAAATGACAATTCAAAAGAAAGCAGGCAATCTCATCTAAGTCTGTTGATTCCAATAGGCTTTGGTAATAAGCAAGTTGAAACCCTGATGAAATGCAGAAATAAAAGTTGGTTTATTTGTTAACACGTAAATGGAAGTGAAAAGCATAGCAAAAGGCAGTAACTGTGCCTTGATGCCTGTAGCTGTCTCTTATGACATGTAACTGTTTTCAGCTGTAGTTCTTCTGAACTGATAGAAAGGAATTGTTTGATGTTAGCTTTAATGAGTTTTTTACTCTCACACTCAGTCCATTCTGTAAGACTGTCAGTCCCATGGTTTTTGGCAACAGAAAGCTTGCATAGTGATGTCAGATAGAAGTGTCAAGTTGACACCTAACGAAGAAAGTAGGAATATAAGATGTGTTGGAGTACTGCCTAGGGAATGAGAAGAGAAAATAACGCTTTAACTGTTAGCTGTCATATTGCATATAATACAAGAGGTAAAATTGAATTAAGTATAGAACAGGGGAGGCAGGGGGTGGCACATTCAGATGTTCTAAATTAGAAGCAGGATCCAATCTGAGATGATGTACATTTTAGTAAAGTCCATTCCAAATCTAAGTTTAGCAAATCAAGGTAGCCAGTTTCCTGAGCTTTAGCAGATGGCTGGTTTTTTAAAGTATATACAAATTAAAATTGTATTCGTGTATGCAGTCCTGGACATACCTGATGCTGCCTTAGATCAAAGGGTTGGGCTGGATAATCTCTGAGCCTGGTGTTTCTTTTGGTTCTGCATATGTCTGTGATCACGTCCATAGCTGAGACTTCCTTAAATCACAATGAGTTTGTATTGGCCAATCTCATTTGAACCTTCTTCTAAATGTTCTGTCTTATTTAGCATCATTTGAAGAAACTAGAAGGACGGCGTTTGGATTATGATTATAAAAAGAAACGTCTTGGAAAGATACCAGATGAAGAAGTTAAACAAGCTGTAGAAAAATTTGAGGAGTCAAAGGAACTAGCTGAAAGAAGCATGTTCAATTTCTTAGAAAATGATGTAAGTCTGTCCTTCGTTTTTGTTTACAGCGGTATATCCAGATGGGAAATGCATGTGGGTTTGGATGAAGCTTGTCTCATCCTTTATAGAAGGCAAGGACTGAAGGCAGAGAATGTGCCTTTCTCCTTGTCTTGGAGAGGAACTTTGTGCACAGCAGCACATGGGAGAACTCAAGAATTCAGCAGGTCAGACAAGGCTGACACAGGTTTCATGTGTCTTTATTATCTATGAGCAGTGAACTGTCTGCAAACAGAATGCAGGGAGATGAGTGGGAGGAAGAATGGGGACTAACACAGTCACAGAGCTGCTGCTTAAACTGGGAGCAAGAGATTTGTAACCTGCACTGATTTGCAGGAGCAGCTCACATACAGAAAAATCTGTTGCTGATCTGAAGGATCTGGGTGATTTGGACTCCACAAATTACAACTACGTTTTGGTTCTAAAAATTACTACATAAAGTTTATGTGGGTTGTGCTCAGGTACTTGAACTTTGGCTCAGATTCCAAGTCCACGATGAAATTATGTCTAAATAATTAACAGCTGTGGTCTTTAGGATAATCCCTCTCTTCAGTGCACATACAGAAAATAGCAGTGTGCTCTCTTCCTGTGTTAATGATGGAACTGGGTGAGAATAAGCTGGGTAGATGCTTTTAGAGGCCATTTTATTATCTGTAGGCAGAATACAGGATATCCTTTTCTTCTAATAAGTCTCCATCAGATACAAATATAGATGTAGAGATATATATAGAAATATATATATTTTGGCTGAAATACGAAGGACAAAAGCAAAAAGGAGGAGCTGTTAAGTAAAATCATTTCAATGCAAGCAACCTCTCTGTCTAACTGCGTATCAGCCAGCTATAAACTAACCTGTGGTTCCCAAGCTGTTGTGAGTGGGCTGCGTTTGCTACAGCCGTGTGTAAGTCAAAAACTGTCTTGACGTTTTACCAGCACAAATGATATGAAGGCAGCAAAAATTAATCATCCTCTATAAATAATTTCAGTGCACTATTCCTGGTGTCCCACTGTAGGCTCTACCAAGTTGCCAGTGTGTCTTATAGTTCTTTGCATAAGCAGCTGAGAAGTGTTTCAGGTGTTCATCATTAGCCAAAGCCTAGCCAAAGCCAAACCAAACGAAAAGATGAAGCAGCACATGGATTTATAGTGATTATCTGAGCCACAAGAGAACTGATCAGGAATGACTTACCAGCGTGAATGAATCTGCCTTTGGAGCGAGTTGAACTGGGTGTCCCTGTGAGGTCTTGTTCCATCCTCACTTTCTTTTGCTTATCTTTCAAGAAAACTGTGCTCTTTCCTTCTGATGTTCCATGCTGACCCCATCTGCCTCCCACCCTCAAACTTCTCATTCCAGCCTTATTAACCACAGTCTTTCTCATTGGTTCGCAGAGACTTTGATTGCAGTCACTTCCTAACTGTCCTTCCATGTTCCCAAAGTGTTTCCCTTTCTTTCTGTTTCCCTGCAGTCTCTGTTCTCAGTGCTCTGGTTCTCAGACGCCTTGCCAGGTGCCTCACCCAAACACAGTCCTGATTCACACATCTTGCTCTCTTTTTTTTTTTTTTTTTTGCTGGTTCCAGACCTCCCACACCGACACTTTGCATGCATTTCTTATCGGATCCATCTTCCCACTCATCCAGTCTCAGGCTCCTCAAGCTAAATGCCTTTTAGTCCCACAAGTCTCTCTGGCTCTTTCCCAGTCACTCTTTTTTCTCCCAGTCCCCATTCTCCTCCCAGCTCTCACTCATCTTGTCTTGACAGTCCTTGTCTGTCTATTTTCTCCGACCACCCCATGCAAACCCCAGGCACATTGTGTGTTATCCTCAGCTGGTTTACATTACTGTCTTGACTTTGATGGACTTGTATCAGCTGTTAATTTGGTTCTGCATTTGATTTCTGTATGCTGTGTGATGATGTTTGGCTCTCTAGGAGTCCCAGCAGAATTTCTAATAATGTTTTTAACTGAGTAAAAGCAGAAAAAGTAGAGCTTAAAATTGCCATGGGTCCATAAAACTTTAACAGAAAGCTTTCATAGACACCTTCTTGTGATCCAGCATGTGAAGACATGGTGGAATGGGAACATATCAGACTTTTGGGCTCTGTCCTCCTCCTCGTCTTAAAGGAAAAGTGCAAAAAAGGAGAACAAATAAATATTTGCTGTTGCTCCCTGGTAGTACATCTTAAACTTTTCAGTTTGCATCAGGGAAGAGGAATGAGGTCATTACCTATTTTGTTTTTTCTCTTTCACATCCTTCATTAGCATTCATACACTTGAATGACTTGCTGATACTTCTTCAAGTAGGTTTGGATAATAGCAGATAAATCATGTTTCATCTATCGGTTTACATATAAAATGCTGCCATCTAGTGAGGTAAGTCCAGATGATTTCAGAACTGTAGTTCATAAACACGGCTAATAAGCACTAATGGGTCTGAGTCACAAGAGTTGTCCCAGTGTAACTTGTCCCAGCATTGCTGATCAGGAAGGCTCCTCTCTCACCTGCTAAGGGGTTGTGCACTGCAACTGTTTCAGCCTTGGGTGTTGACAGACAGCTGGCTTGGAAGTTGAAAGCAAAAAGGATTTGTGCACTGTGAAAGGAAATGACTTAAGGACCCAGCCCTGAGTTAGTGAACTAGAAGTTACACCTCAGTTTTGTTCAGGTTCCAACTGGCAGTTCCTTTGATAAAATCACATATGCTCTTTTTCAATAGTCCCACAAGGTATCACGGTCTTTTGAGATACCAAATCTGTTTTGAATGATGTTTGTTTATCCTTCAGCTGAAGGTACTGCAGGCTCTTAAAAACTGTTTGCTCTCTGTCTTTCAGGTAGAGCAAGTTAGCCAGTTGGCTGTGTTTGTAGAAGCAGCACTAGATTACCACAAACAATCTACAGAAATACTGGAGGATCTGCAGAGCAAGCTGCAAAACCGGTAAGACTGAACGCGTAAGAAAACTTTGAGTCTCTTGTAGTTCAGCTTCTTGAGTATGAAAAGTCACAGAAGCAGCAGATCTGGTAGCAGCAGATCTTGTAGCACAACAGATGCACGCTTGCTGTGCTCTTGTGCCCTGCTGGGCTTCGTTGTTTTTAAAACGTTACAACCTGGCAATGTACTGCTGGACCGTGAGCCTTCAATGTGCCATGGGGTCTGTCCAGCAAGCTTTGAGAGTGTGCAGACTCTCCCCCTCACATCTGCAGCGGTTAAGTAGGACAGCCTCCGGTTGTTTGTAGATTTTTTTTAAACTTGCATACTTTCTGAACATTGTTTTGGAGTCTTTGCTGGGCAGTTGGTCTGTTTTCACTGAGATTATGGGCATAACAAAACTCTGCAGCAAAATAAAGAACGTGCCAGTTGGCGAGGAATACAGTTGTGATGTAATGAACTTGTGAAAAGCCAGATATTTTGTGTCACACTAATAGGAAGAAAGCTGCTGTCATTAATTTGTTGTATGTCACTCAGAAAAGCAACAGGGAACAGGAGACCTTAATGACTTGAGCACTGCTATAGCATGGACTAGTAGTACAGTCAGAGTCACGTAACTTCTTTGAGACTTTCCTGAGAACAGAATTGAAGTGATGGATGTGAGTACCATATGGGAGTAGCAGTACCTGCATACCCTGCAACATTCCAGCTGAAGGGCCGTTGTAATGGGGTGGTCTCAGTAGGGCCACATGCACATGTAGCAAGAGGTGCTGTGGCAGGTTTGCTGTTCAAATGATTATTTCCCGCTTTGTTTTTTCTCTAATGAAAATGCACCATGTGAGATGCATTCCCTGGGCCTCTGTCCTGGCTGGGCTTCTGCAGATGTCATTTACAGCTGAGCTTTCCAGACAGCTCATTCCTGGAACTTCTGCTGAACTCAGTGGCAGCTGTGGATGCTCAGCACTTCTCAGACTCAGGCTGTTAAGCTTTTTTACCTTTGTCAGCACGACCATAGCATTAAATAAAATAGGGCCTTGCTGAAACTCATGTGCATTAGAACTGAGCAGCGTTTAGTGAATAACATTTCCTCACACCTTCCTCCAAAAAATCTAATAGAAGTCCAAAAACCCACAGCAGGAAGGTTTTTCCTTACCTTTCAAATACAAAAGTACTGAATCTGGGTGGAAACTGTATTTGTTTGAGTGAATCTCTTGCCACTCTTCTCTGTGTTCCAGAATAAATGTAGCATCTAGTCGGCCTAAACGTGAATTTAAGCCCAAACCTGTAATAACTACAACTCTGGAAACTGGTGATAATCAGCAGCACAATGGGATTGGTTATAGCTCTTCTATAAAGTCATCAGGTAAGCCTGTGGCCACAGACTTCACATTTGGTGGCTTTTGTACCAGATTGTTGCTTGTTGCACTGCTTGTATTACGCTAATGATGGATTCATAGTGTGTCTGTATCCAGGTATTTGACTCCAGTTTGTTCCCCAGGTTTGGAAATGGAATTGTGAAGCCAGGGTTCCTCTTTCCATCTTTTACCATCTGAATTTGAGGTGTGGCACTCTGTTGGTTCTTTTTAGGTTCTTTGTATTGCCACGAAGGGTAAGAGGAGAGAGAATCACTTGCAGAAAGCATTTTGTGTCTTGAAAAGACAGATGCCTAATTGGGTGTGTTAGATCACTGTCTGGAGAGTCTCCAGCTGCTAATTTCTCTCAGCACTCTCTGTGTAAGTGATCAGCTCAGGATCTTGACTATTAGCCATGTAGAATTCAGGGAGACTAACTTTGGCCTAACTAATTTTGTTAACATAATTTACCTTAATGTCCTTTCATTCCCCTGAAATACGCACGGAAATGTGTGTGTTTTTTTAGGTGAATTACTGGAGGTGTTCAAGGCCAGGTTGGATGCAGGCCTGGATTAAAGGGATCTAGTGGGTGGGAGCCAGGCTGTGGCAGGGGTTGGAACTCAGTGATCTCTTCTCCCCCAAGCCAGTCTGTGATTCCTTGATTGTTAGATATCCCTTGCTGTGGTAGTAGGGTTCCTTCTTGGGGTCAGAGCCTGGTTCTATCGAGGAAGGGGAGAAAAAAAAAAATAAAGAAAAAATGGGAATAACTATCGAAAGCCCATGAAAGTTGTGTGTGAAAGTTGTAATAATGAGCATGGTTACCACTACTCACTGAAGCAACTTTTCCACATTTCCACATGAATAAATTTTTTTGCCCTATCTCCCTCATCCTGTGGTGAGTGGTGACAGATCAAGGATGCTGCCACCTTGCTTACTTAAAAAAAAAAAAAAGCCAGTTTTAATGAGCTAAAATTTACTGAAAGAACTGAAAAATGAATGGCCACTGATCACTAAGGTGGGAAAGGAGTGAGCCAGTTCCATTTGTCGATTCCATTCATACTCTACAGCAGCAGCTGCTTGCTTTTAATGATGGGTTTTCACTTACTGCTTGGCTCAGTCAGTACTCTCAGAACAGAAAAGAAAACATAGTCATAAAAGAGAGAAAGAGGAAGTATAGGAAAAATTTAGTTTCAGTTGCTGCAATTAGTGTTGTTAATAGTATAAAGATTTAAATTAATCTCACTTAGTATTAGAAAGATTTAGACTCAGTAGTTTTTTTTTTCCTCCATTAGATTATAAAGCTGTGGATTCTGTTTGCCTCCTGAAATCATTATTTATCTTCTTTCTTTCTGTTGTCCATATGAATTTCTGTGGAGTTATAGTGGGGTGAATGTACCCTGCTTGTAAATGGAGAGCCTTCCTCTTGCTGCTTAACATTGTGAAACAGATTTGATTTGATTTGTGGTCTGTGATTTATAAATGTGAACCAGGTGGCTCGAAGGAAAACACTGCACAATGTTGTAAGATCTCCATGTGATGGAGGGATAGCATCATAATCATCCTCTTCTTCTGCTTAGAAAGCTTCATCCAACACATCCAACTTCCCCTGTTTACACATTGGCTCTACTAAGATGTTGACCTTTAATTTCCCTGCTGCTATCACTGAAGGTAGCAGTATCTTAGCATTCAGTGAGCTCACAAATATCAACAGTTAAAAGGAAGGTGTGACACATTCACAACTACCATGATCCAGTTCTGAGTGTTGAAATGACTTTTCCTGTGTTTCACTATAGCTTTCTAGGTTAAGTATTAGTTTCTCAGAGCAGAAATGGTATTTTCCCTTATGCAATTCCTAACACATGGGGATTACTCACTACTAATGACTTGTGACTCCAGCCCTGCAAATGTGTACAGAAACGTCTTTTTAATGTTGTAAATTATTTAGTTACTTTGATTAAGCACAGACAATAAATCAATTTTTTATTCCAATTTTTTATTCTAATTCATTGTTACCCTCATTAATCAGCTGGGGCTGTGAGCATCATCTGCTCTAGAACTCTTAAATGCTGTGTTACATCATGCATTTCATTCTTTTTGTTTGTCGGGTTGGACTGTGGTATAAACTAATTGGGTCTGGTTGCCATGTGCTGGATTTTAACATAGGCATCTAAATGTTTACACACTTCAGCTGTGAGGGAGACTGGGGCTAATTATCTTTGTAAGCTTCCAGCTCCTGATGATTAAAGTGTAATTGCTACCAAGTACATATATCTTGGTGTAGAAGAGGAGTATGTGCAGGTATGGGCAGTAACTCCTTATGGAAAGACAATAACAAAAAAACCAACACTCATTGCTCTGGTTTTATCCTGTGATGCTTCAGAAATCACAGACAGCTACTTGCTCAGCCTGCTTGGTGCTGTTTTTTCCGTTTGTACTGTCCAGGTTTAAGTGATCTGTGTACTATGATTGGTCATCCTCGAACACAGTGAAATGTGACAATTTATCTCCACAGTGGCAGAATTAAGGAGATGGGCCTGGTGCTGCAAATTAATGTAAAACCTGCCTTCAGGGAAAAAAAAATGTGATTTCTTTAGCTTAAGTCTCTGCAGCAGAAGAAGAGCAAGTATTTAATAGATGGGAAAAGGCTGCAGTCATGTCACCAGTTCTGTGATGTTAAACAGAGTGTGTTGCAGATCGTCAAGCAGCGCTGCCCCCATTACTTTTGTCGGGGAAGCTTTGTCTCATTGGATTATACAGTAGCAGCAGCTGCCTGATTCTAATGAAGACTCTGACTGATCCAACAGCCTGGAGTGAAACCGGTCGTATTGGCTGTGACCATTATTTTAAAATCTTTCCAGGCTGCCAGACACTTCTTTTCAGTCCTTTGGAGCTTAAATTGAACCAAATGTGATCCATCTCCTATCGGGTACCTTGCTGTCAGGTTTGAACTGACTTGCAATAATAAATTAGCCCCATCGGAGCAGCTGGTGAAGGCGAGGAACTTTGTCAATTATTCCGAGCGCTGCCTTCTGCTGCTGACAGTTCTGGTGAGTTGGTATCAGCTCTACCTTGGCAGAGACTCTGGAAATAACTCAGCTATTTTTGAATGCAGTCAGTCCATTTTTGTTGTAAAACTGTGGCTTATCATCTTTTCTGTCAATGGACTATTTCAGCAGAAATATGTCTTGAAACAAGCTTTGGCCTGCACCATTGTATTGGACAAGCCGTAATTCAGTTTGCTCTTGTGAAACTTTGTTGTTACCCCATGCTTTCCACAGGCAGAGACCGAGTGCAGCTTTGTTTCAGCAGTATCCTGGGATGGCTTACTTGAAGGGGGTCTTTGTGTTGACAGCTCTCTTGCATTGTTAGAACAGGAGAAAAGAACCTTTATTATGAAGGATAGAACATATCCCCAAACAAAATTAATTCCCACTTCCCAATTTTAACACCAAATTTTATTACTGACCAGCAGAATAAGTGTTTCCTAGAAGTCTTCTGATCCCTGTTCTTAGAAAATACCAGCAGTTACTTTTCAGTAGTTTCCTGTACATTACTGTGATTAGAAGATTAGAAAACATGACCAGTGTTTTTAACACCTTAGCCATTTTATCTGCATTGCTGTATCGATGCAGACAAAAATTAGTCTTCAGGCTGACCACAGGATTACCAGCATGATAGCTGAGCTACCACTGGGATACTTGAGAGTTGTTGCGATGTTACAAGTGGGACAACCACAATAACTTCAAAGGTTTAACCACTGTAATCCTAGTAATAGTGCTAAAAGAGTTGTCATGCTGTAGTGTGTTTTACTGCAGTTTACGTGGCAGCAGCATGAGGTCTTTTCTCCTATTCTTCATGTAGAAGTATATTTCAAATTAGCAGACTTCTGCTTGGATATTCTGCCAACACTGTTGAAAATCTGTTATGGCTGAACTGTGATTGAACCTCTCGCTAGTCCTTGTCTGCTGAGCTTTCCAATTTAAACACTGGATTACCTTTTATTAGAATACATTACTGTAGGTGTGAATGAAGGAATGTGCTACATACATGTCTATGCCATGGACCCAAACCAGTTAACCACCTCTTCATGACAGTGACTGGGTGACTGCATTTATGAAGTTAACTTCTTTTGCTAATGGTGATTGTTTTCTACCTTAATTTGTATTTTTTTTTCCTGTAAATGTACGTCCTTACTACTGTGTTTAAGAGTAATGTTGCTTGAAGATTGTTATAATAGGATGTGAGCAAGCAGTGCAAGTCACAGAACAGCCAGGTTGTGTTGGTAGAGTTGCTGTTTGTTTTCATCTGTAGGACTTAGTCAGGCAACACCATTACTAGCATAACCATTCCTTTAGTTCAGATGAAGGACACGAATAGCAGAAGGCTTGAACACATGAACCTGGGGAGCAGTAACCCAGAAATGTCCCTCACTGCTCAAGCAAAGTGCAGTAGGAAGCATTTATGCAGGAGCACCTGGAAGCCTTGCTCCTGCAAATACACGTGTGCAAAAATCATGGCAGCTGCATTTCTAGCCTATTAATTTCTTGTTTTGTGGATAATGAAATTCTGCAAAGCCTCTTGTAATACTTTTTTTTTCTGTCACGAGGGCAGGTTCTTCAATGCACGTGGATCAGCCTTGCTGCCAAGCTCTCTATGACTTTGAACCAGAAAATGAAGGCGAGCTTGGGTTTAAGGAAGGGGACATCATAACTTTGACCAATCAGATTGATGAGAATTGGTATGAAGGGATGTTAAATGGAGAGTCTGGCTTCTTCCCAATTAATTATGTTGAAGTGATGGTACCCTTGCCTCAGTGATTGTGTCATTCAAGCTGTGAACATGATTTCATGACTGAAATGGATTCACAAATGTTGTCAGTGTGGCATTCTGTGAAAGCCTTGCTATTTGACTGACTTACTGACTTTTGTATGCGTCTTTTTAAAATGTATTTATTTTATATTCCAAAAAATTTTACCTTCCCTGACACCATCAACCTGCAAAAAAACCCATACCCAGTTTTTTTGCTTTGTGCCTTGAAGATCACTGTATGAAGTGTTTACTGGTAGCTCACTGTTGCTCCCAAAATGCATTTATTTGCTAATATTGTACATGGTTTTGTTTCTTCCTTTTTTTTTAAAAAAAAAAGTCTTTTGTTGCAATGATTTTACTATTAAAAACAATTTTTAAAAATACTGTAAGTGAAGCTAACTGCAATGAGTTCCTAAGTTACTGATATCATTGAGCCCTTTCCATCTATCACACTGTAATTTATTGTGAACAAGTTAATCCATGTTTCACATTGTATGTTGACAAAAGGCAAAGTGATTGTTGTCAATATTACGATGTTGTTGTACTAAGTACAAGTTCTCAGAATTGAAGATTCCTATAATTTGCTGACCAAACTTAATAAATATGTCGGTGGGATAAGAGTGGTTGCCACTTCTATTCCTGTAGCTCTGGCTTTTATTTTTGTGTTGGAGGGTCACTCTTGCTAGATAAATCATTTCAATGGGGGGGAGGGGGGAGGAACATCAAAAATACCCCAAACTATTAGTTTTATGGCACCTCAGCAACTGGAATTGTAATAATCTTGCTCTCCTGTCACAGGCTGTGTAACACTCATAATATCTATTAACATTTTCTTATAGCAGGAGAATAGGAGTCCTTTGAACCAAGTGTGAACTGATTGTAGCTCCACCGCTTGCATAGACCTCCACTGAGATAAATGGGTGAGTATCACTGGTCATGGTTGCAAACAGATGAAGAGTTAGCAACACTTCTGCTATTGTCTGTTTCTTTAAAGGATGGAGAATGATGAAGATGAAAAGTGGCAGAGGTAAAAAGACAAATGTTGTAACTGAAACATGCAAAAAAGGCCTCAAAATGAAGGACAAACTCAGGCTTAAGCACTGTCAAAGTGAATATAGAGTTAATTATTCTTCTGTTAGCCTTTTCCTGCTTCTCAGGAAATGTGGATGTAGTAATGACTGAAAAATTCAGCATCCTGAGACAGACGTGATCTTTTTCCAATCTTGTCCAATGCTCTATGGTCAAGATAGGAGAATGAAAAAAAGGAAAGCGAACTCTTCATAGACAAAAGGGCTTGAATCCAGTTTCAATGTTTTAAGCTCTACTTGGTTCTGTAGTCCAGAAGCAGTGTTCCTTAGAGAGGAAAGAATTTCACATGTACCATGTGTGCAGTAACTATTCCATATAAGAAACATAAATAGCTTGTAACCAGCTATCCAAACCTTGCCTTTCCAGTTTCTCCTATCTCTGACCTTGGCTAAATCAGCTAAATACCAAACAACTCAGTGTACAGCTGTTCTACTTGTGCTTTGGGTTTGGAGCAGTGACAGGACTATTGCTCGAGTGCACACAGCCAAGAAGTAAAGCTGTTATGAACTAAAGTTCACCACCTGCATTTTGCTTTGGCAAATAAGCAGTAGCCAGGGAGAAGAATAGTTAACAAAATGGCTTGATCTTCTGAAGCTGGTAATGACATTACTTAGAAGGTGCCTTGGGTAGAACAGCCTTGTCACTGGAATAAAATCAGAAATCTAAGCATGGAGGAAACATGAAGCGTAGCTACGTCTGATGCATTGCAACAGTCTGTGGCTCCCTATTGAGCACCCTGCAACTGCATCCTAACGAGCATTAGGGTTTCTGACACCAACTCTAGCTATTTCATATCAAGACCCATGCAGTGGTTGTTGCTTCATACCATCTTTACCTTGTCTAGAGTTGTCATGTAAAGTACTGAGTGCTACTCTTAAATGAAATTCATTACAATTCAGCTTTATTTGGGGAACTGAGTGATAGATGCAAACAGCACAATATTGTGGAGGGGTGGAGGTTTCTTAAAGCTCTACAGGGAGTTGTATTACTCCAAATCATTTGAGCTACTCAAAAAAAAACCATCAATAAACCAACTTTTATTTAATTTACCTATAAATATCTTAGATTTTAATATTTGTTCATGAAAAATCTCTTTAACAATAAAAAGTTCAACATAAAGATAAATATAGAAAGATATAGCAACATTTATTTCTCTATGGAGCAAAAGGTATAACAGGAGTTCAAAACTGATAAAATGTATTAAATCAGCATTAGTTTTCATCTTTTTAAAGACCTAAACAGCTTAATTTAAGAACATTAAGCTAGTGTAAGAAAATCCTCATATTAATAACTGCATCCAACTATAGAACAGATCTCAAAACTCAGAACTTAATATTTTGGTAAGATAACAGATGCAGACAAAAAAGCCAGCACTGACTGATCTGCAACATCAGCTGCTTATGCTCTTAAAGAGAAGAGGACCTGCAAGGCTCATTGAGGTTCTTTCTTTGCCATATAACCACCAGGTAAGCATTTTGGTAAACAGACGCTGAAAGAAGGGATTATGAAGGCTGACCACATGGTTTCTAAGGGCTAGAGGTCAGCCTTCAGATAGCTACAAAGCTATTAAATTAAGTACTGGCCAACAGATAGCACTCTGCCCCCACTTCCCAGCTAGACATACAAAGCAGGACTGCAGACTGCCCTTGTCAGACCTTCAGTACACAGCGACTAAGAGCTAATACTTTTAATGCACCTTTGTCATTTTGATTTTTATCAGTATTTTTCTTCCAAGCCACTTGGAATGCTGGCTTTCTGGGACCAGAGTGCTAGTATTGCTAGTTACAGTACCTTCTGTTGGAATGTTTCACATTTGCAGGATATATCTGTCAATGTTATTGTTCCAGCAAATCAGAACTAAAAGCTATGCTGCACCTAGAAACATGAAATACTGCAGTTGGTAATTTCTATGTACTAGAATAAAGAAACAGTACATTTAATAAACAAGAGGAATACATCACAGCTTGATTTGACTTGAAAAATTTTGTTACTCTAGGAAGTTCTTCAGCTAGTGATCTAGACATCTCAGCATCAGGATACAAGCAGAAACCATTTCAGATAGTCAGCACTCTTCAGGATGTGTTACTTCAGCCAACTGCTCACAACATCCCAGCTGTGACATGATCTGGCACAGGTAGTTACCCACTCTGGCTTGAAACAGAAATCGCCTTTGGAGAAACAACATACCAGAATATTGAGAAAGCTGAGACAGCCTATGCTCAGTCTCAATTATTTATCATCCTTCTAGGACATGCATCAAACAGCTTTGTGAACTGTGCACACTCTTGTTTCAGCAGGTCATGGAAATCAAATCCTTGTGACAGAGTAAAAGAGCTTCCTACAGAGCTTGTATTCTACTGATCTTCATATCAGTGATTCCAGCACAGGGTACAGTATCAGAAGGCATTATGTCATGGACAGTTTTTCTTACAAAGAGGTCAGATGGGAGATGTAAATTCCAAGATGTTTTCAAATATTGCAGAAGGTACCACCACACACTTAAGTCCAAAATGTCACTTGAGGTTTAGAAGTGTTTTCAAGTGATCATCTCCATGTCCATATTACATAATAGAACAGCTGGGATCTTCATTTTGCTGCAGAAATAAAATATCAAGACATTAGTTCTAAGAAGCATGCATTCTTTCTACAAACTTCCTATTTAATGCTAATTAAAGAAAATCAAAGCTAAATAAAAGCTATCAAGCTATCAGTACTCCGGAGTTCTGGAAGCATCAGAACTGAATTGACATGCAAATTCATGCTACTCACGTTGGAAGAGGAGCAGAAACAAAGAAGAGCAAAACATGGAAACCCTGCCTTAAAGCACTACTGTGCATTCTTTACATCATTTTGCTGTCTACAGGAAGTTAAACAACTTAGTTAATAAAAAAAAAACAAACAAAAAACTGTTATCTCAGTATTACCTACACTGCAAGAGTACAAGAGTAATCCAGCAGATGGGAAGGATGTTAGTACTTGAGTAGGAGTATTAGAATGGATTTTTACCATAAGTGGCACATAACTGTATTGTAAAGTTGCTGATAAAACAGTAAGTGTTTCATCATGAAGATAAAGAGAAGAAGTTGCTTTTGCTTTCCATCACTGATGGCAGGGCAAGCCATATTATCAGTCAACTAAAATAAAGAGCCTTCAAAATACTGAGGAGAGGCCCTGTTTCAAACACTATTTCCACCAGTACATTCAGGCATTTTGGTGTATGCCATTCAGGCTTCCAGTGCACAGCATTACAGAACAGTGTTCAGTAGCCTATTAGACAAGGTCTTATCCTTTACAGTGTGAGACTGAAAATTCGCCAGCAATGTAAGACTCTGATGGACACTAAACCAGATGGTAAAATAGATATTCAGATTCAGTTTCAAAAGAAGGACAAGGAAAGAACTAAGCAGACAACTGCCTGTTCTGAGGTACAGTTTTCTTGAAAAAGATGGTACCCCAAGGTACTTCAGCAATAACTCCACATAATATAAAGCAAGTAAAAAAAAAGCTACTGGTGTACTAATGTGCACTTGAAGAGCTCAAAATGAACTACTTCAGGCTCATATGATCAGACAGAAGCGACTCAGAGGCAATGGAGAGTCTTTCAGAGGGCATTTCAGCATCGGTTGCACCCAAAAATTAACATGTATGCTAAAACATGCTCATTTTATTGATGTGTTAATTCTGTTAGCATGATTTGTATCTGTACTTTGTTTCTACTTAGGAAATATTGAAGGAAGTATTATTTAAGAGTAAGGCACAGCTAAGGTGCTTATTTCACACACCAAAATAAGACAGTAATTTCTGAAACAAAGTTCACACTGGAGTGCCTTAAACTCACGATCAAATTTGAAAGAAACCAGTAGACAGTCAATATACCACTATAGCAGAAATGCCAAGTCACAGCCTGAAACAGTGATTGAGCACCTGGGGGGAAGGCAGGGCCAACCCGGGGGAGCTCAGGTGCATGCAGTGCAATGCATCCGAGTGACCAGAAGGGGTGGAGCCAGGATCCAGCCCTTCCCAGACCGCATTTAAGGCTTGGCAGTGGAAATGAGGGCTCTCACTGGAGATCTCTCACTGGATATCCTTGCCACCCTGCTATTATCACAGTTCTTTCCATCCCATTATAGCATTACACCCATGAACTTTGATTTCAGCATTTTAGAATCATACAATCATTAAGGTAGAAAAAGACCACTGATATTACTTTGTCCAACTGTCAACTTTTCACACCATGTCCACTAAACCAATCACTCAGTGCAACACCTCCCCTTTCCTTGAAAACTTCCAGGGATGGTAACTGGAGAAGCTGGCAGCTCATGGCTTGGATAGGTACATACTTTGCTGGGTAAAGAACTGGCTGGAGGGCCGGGCCCAGAGAGTGGTAGTGAATGGAGGAAATCAAGTTGGCAGGGGTTGATACAGGGGCCTGTTATGTTTCATATTTGTATTGATGACTTGGACAAAGTGATTGAGCTCCTGCAGTTGCCTACTGTTACCCCAGCCTATCCAGATTCACCTGTAGGGCCTTAAATTTGGTATTTTTGAAAGAAAATATTCTATTTTCTTAGTGTGAATTTGAGTCAGGTACTTTAGAACAAGTCCAGTACACTGTTTTAAGCATCAGATAAGTCACTTCATTCCCACAGAATGAAAATATTTGTTTGCATTCTGTTTTTGGAATAACAGCTTGCAAGTATATTTGCAGTGAGATAGATGTTCAAATACATAAAAAGCTGATATTCTTCTGCAATAGTGTTAATTGTTTGGTCTTTAATTATTTGATGATATTCAGCCAAAAAGTAAGAAAAGCATCAATTTCGTTTCTGATGCAAAGCCATGCAAGCTACAGCCTACATGGGACAAGAGACTAAAGCATTATTAGTGAAGCAAGCTGAGATGGCAAGCACAGTTCTCACTGATCTCACCTGCTTAAGGATGCTCACAGGAATCACTATCATGAAACCAAACAACATTTCTTTTTTCTTCTTCTTTTGGTCTGACATCAAGAAAAATGGTAAGAATTGGATTTGGGTCGTATTTGGGGAAGTATATTCACACAGTGTAAAGAAATTGGCTACCAGAATTCTTCAATTGCTTGTATTTAAGTTTCAGGCATCTTACCTGAGGTGGAAGCTCCACTTCACTTCCCATTAGTTCTTCATACTCATCATCTTGCTCACCACTTTCTTCTTCTCTGGGTACATGCATTAATTTTCTCTCTGCCAGTTCCTGCAGTACAATTAAGTCACCATCAAGGAAGCTTAAGAGTTAAGCACATCAAGGCACTTTAGTAGAAGGACAGAAACTGCAACTCACTTACCTCACCTTCATCTGTGATGAGCGTAACACCAATGTTATACCCAGATCCCCAAGACTTCTGAGACTTCCAGATCAGGTCACTAGGACCTGGGCTTACACCAGCAGCTGCACCCCAGATCTGCAAAAAGCTTGAAGTGAGACAATGTTGATTCTTCTTATTTGTAGTTACATCTGACCCATTCTAACACGTACAACTCCAAGTACTCTAATACCAAAGACATTCACTAACAAATTCAGCTACTCTCATCCCTGGCAGGCTAGTTCTTCTGTTCAAGAAGATTCAAGAATACTGATGAAGTGTTACAGACCTACCGTAACTACTTGGCCTGCCTGAAGTGTGAACTGTGAGGGGAATTTGTATGTTACATCTGACACACTCTCAAGATGTCTTCTCAGCACCCATCCGTGTAGCGGCTGATCCTGCAGAATAAGAAGTTTCTCAGCATTACAAACCAACACTATAGCACTCGTAAGTGTAAGACCCTCCTCAGTCTTAAGGGTCACTTGGTCCTTCTTCTATAAGGTGGAAGACTATATTCAATTATAAAGCTACCTTAAATTTCCAGAAGTCTCTTAGTACTGTCTTAGGTTACTCTTCACCCCAGAAATTCGGGTACATCTGTTCAATAGGGATAATATTCTAACCAGGATCATGTTATTCTTTCTAGAAGGGCTATGATAAACCAGAGATGTGTTTGACCAGCTTAACTCAGACTGCATATATGTATTTATACATATTAATCTAAGCTGTTACATATATAGTGGTCTTTGAAGGTTTAAGGCATTTCAGGCTAAGGCACCTGGGCTATCAGCTGCAAGTTTTGGAGTTCTGATAATTGGAACAACTCTGGATTTGCAGATTAAACTAGTTGAGTTATCCAATTCATTAGTGAAGACCTCTACACTGATTAGATACCATCAGTCCTAGTCAACCTTTTAGTTGTGTTTATAATTAGTAAGCTGTCATCCAGTTTACTAATCCTTATTTAGTTTCTCAAGGATATGAAGTGCTTGCAATACTTTTACCCTGATTCTAATGAGAAATAACTAAAGATGGTTGGCTTCTGCATCATAGATGCCAGTGCTCCTCTTCCAAAAGCCTGAGAGCAAGACACCTGCAGTATGAATATCACTTGGTCCTCATCTATTGGCAGTAGCCAAGTTAGTTCAAGAAACATTTGGAAAGCTCTCATCTCTTTGTAATTCCCTGTTGTAATCTCTAAGCCACAAATCAGTGCACAAGCAGTCATACTTTGCAGTGAAGGAGGAACAAAATTGAACAAGTACCTCATCAGAGTTGTTTTTAAGCCTGACAAAATTCCCATCTGCATCAATTTCTTCTATAGACACTTTTCCAGAAGATGAAGCATGCTGAACAGTCTTAAATCCAGCACTATGCTCTCTCTTTCTGGCTTTCATTTTCCTTTTTCTCCCATGCAGAAACCGTCGCCCTTCACTTGTTGCTTGAGTTGCAATGCTATGTGAAGATGCACTAGGTGATATGTTCAGCCTGGAAGGAGCAAAATAAGCATTGTAGATATTCAAGTGAATGTTATTTCCTCTCACTACTATCAGGACAGCCAAGCCTAACAGCTTCTTACCTTGAAGCTTTCCGTGAAGCCTTGATAACACTTTATTTTTGCTGGCAACAGTAACTGAGTAAGTAGCTTGTTAGGTTTGGAACACAACCCCAGACCTAAAGTTCAGAGCAAGCTTATACTGATAAGAAATTTTTAACTGCAGTTCTTTACTTACACACACTTTAATAGAAGTTATTTAAACTCTTGACCCTTAGCATTAACTCAGTTCATGTTGTTCTTACTAAGGAGTGTCTGGATAGTTAAGAGCTAGTAGTTATCATCTCCTTTCATTCATGCATACAGCCCCAAATGCTGAAGTTCTGGTTATTAAATGGATTTCTGAGCTAGCTGGGTATAGAATAAAACCCACACTGACTATACCCTTATATGCTGCATGCTTAAAGTTTTTGTGTAATTACTCCATCTCAAAGTGACATCAGCACCAAATACTGATGGATAAGGGGGAAAAGGATGGCTGTTTTAGACTTCAATACATCTTTGATACAACTCTAGGTTTTAGTACAAAAAACTTTGAAAGTAATCAGTTCTAGAGAGGGATGTCTAGTGGATTTGAACCTTCAGTTTAGTTTGTCGAGTTACTTTATCTTCATACCTGATGTGATGGATATGACTATTTATCTACAGAAGATGGTACTTGAGCTAAATGGTGATCCTCATTGCAAACAGAGTTTGTTTCTTGCATCTACTGCATTTTTGAATATACATTCAGTTCGTGCAGAGACCATGGATGGGGCAAGTCCTCACATGAAGATCTTGCTATAACCTACCTCTGTTCCTCTCCTTCCAGCATCTTTCTGTAGGCATTTATTTCCAGATCTAGAGCCAGTTTCACATCTAAGAGATGCTCATATTCTTCCAACTGTTCCTGAACCTTCTTCTGGGCTTGTGCCATTTCTTTCTCTTTTTCAGCCATACGCTTTCGATGTAGATCACGATCTTTATCCAGCATCTCCTGTAGCTCCTTCACTCTGTTCTCCAGAGCAGCATTCTAAAATTAGAGGAAAAAAAAAAAAATAATCCAAAACAATTACACTGAGTATTAGAGATGAAATATTTTGTATCGGGTATATAATACTAGGAATATACAAAAAGATAGTACCTGGCTTTGATAGTGATTAATTTCAGATGTCAGATTACCAAGTCTAAGTTTTGTTTCCATTAACTCCTCTCGAGCAGCATTGGCAAAGTCACTGTTTCTTGCTGCAGAAAGCTGGGCATTCTCCACCTATGGGTAAAGTCACTGTTAGAAATGAGTTGCTTGTGATCATCTATTTTAAATAATAAGGGGAAAAAAGTGATTTCCAGCTGCTATATGTGGAAATAGCTGTTTTACCTTATGCAGATACCAACAGGATCCAAATAAGCAAGTTTTTTATTGCTTTTCAAGGAGATTTACATGAGTTTGACATTCACATAAAAAAAAATAAAACAACAACAACATTCAGGTAGTGAGGTGCTGGATTAGGATGTTCCAGTTACAAAGCTGGAAAGACTTTGTATAGATATGAAGTCACTGGATTCTCCAGAAGAGCAATGAAGAACGCTTGGAAATTGCTTGTCAAAGCATAAGACTAGAAGATACTAAGTATGCTTAGAAAGCTCTTGTTCTTCCCCAAAAGTTCTGTAAATAAACAGTTCCTACTTCACACTCTAAGCAGCACTAAGCTATTTTTAAGGGCAAGTCAATCCTGATATTTTCCAAGAATTGAAAAAACATGCACTGAGATACATCATGCTACTACAAGAGACTTTCCAGATCTCCAGGGAACACCAAACTAGTTGGACAGAAGCATCCAAACAAATTCAGTAGGGTGTTATACTACAGGAAGTTGTAGCACGGAGGAACCCAGAAGAACCATTGAGTGAAAAATACTCCTAAGCAGATGTAGTAGATCATGCAGTTCTGCACTATCAGCACATCAATACTGTATGTTGCACTCAATCCAGGAAGCCCTGGGATCTTTCCTACAACACTATAAATAGGAAGTATGACTTCTACCTGAATACAAGGCTTACGTTAGGAAAAAAGATTGCAGACCTTTTCTGGAAGACAACTTGTCAAACTACTTCCATAGCTACCCTTCCTACTTGATACAGCGTTACAGCTTACAAGGGACACTTGTACTTTAGAAGTATACTTATAGAACTGTAATAACACAGTATGCCATGTATTTCACTAGCATTATTTTTAATGACATTTTATTCAACAATTCTGAAAATTCTTTATATTAACATAGCACACCTTGGTCCTGAATTTGTCAAACACTTATTTGTTAGTAGACTGAATGATCACCAGCTTTATTACGTCAGCCATTCCTAGCTGCTCCCCAGAGAAACAGTATTTATACTTGAACCAATTTTGGTTGGAGCTAAGTGCTGGTAGCAGTAAGTTCCGTTGTCAAACTTGATGCTGTTTCAAAATCCCGTAAGTGCCATTAGTTACCCTTCACACTTATGCCTAGAGGCTCTGCAGTGAATGCAAGGCCTCCATCAGCCACTTACTCTAGTGTGGCAAATTATATTAAGGTGCAGAGAACTTACATTGGCATCTTTATTGTTCATAGACTCACTTTTGCACTGAATGTTCGCTCCAGCTCCTCCTTGTATCCTTGAATTTGTTCTTCGTGCTGTTTTCTGAGCCCCTGCAGAGCATCTGAGAGCTTACTCTCAAATTCTCTCCGACGACCAGACTCCATTTCTGCTATTCTGCTCTCATGGACTCTTTTCATTTCCTTGAGCTCCTGGGAGAGAATAAGCAAGCCAAAACAGTTTGAGACTGTGGACTTCCTGTACCAGCTTAGCAAGAAATTCAGTCCCATAGCAGATTTGCCACTGAGTGCATGGTAATTCCTCAATTCAGAGCTTGCATGTCCTTCCACTACATCAGGAACTCACACCTCAGAAGCTGTGCTGGATTCTGCTTCTTCACTGCTAACGTTGGTTAAACTACTAAGCAAAGTAACTTGCATCTAATTTGGAGATTAATTCTCTGATCCATATTAATTTCTCTGCTTTTCTTTAGATGCATGTGTACTTCAGCTTCTTTAAGAAGTTACCTATTTTTGTTTTATTCAAAAACTTACAGCAACTGGGTTAGAAAAACTGGAGTTTTATCACTGAAATCACACACAGACTCCTTCCAGAAGGAATTTGGTTTGCATTCACTTCTAAGTTCCATATTATGTACTGACTCCTAATGCAATGCTCACGAACAGTGTTTGGTAAACTTTAAGGACGAAGGGAATGTAAGTTCTTATTGTAGCAACTGGATAGATCAGTACACTGGGAGAGGCATTACAACAGAGGTGTGATGATGGAAGGACTAGCACAATAGAAAGGTGCTATAAAGCAAGGGAAAGAGATTGCTCACACATCAGAAGATTCTAGATTTGCAGGGGAAAGCTTCAGCAAGGAGGGATCTCCAGAAAGAGATCTCTCTGCATTGGCATTCAGCCCTTCAATGAGGTCTACGAGAGGTGCAGCCAGGCTCCACCCCTTCCAGTCACACAGCTGAATTACCTTCACCTGCACTCTCAGGACTGACCAGGTCTTTTCCCCCACATGCTCAATCAGTTGTTCAGGCCATGACTCAACAGTTCCCATACACACTAAAAGATGTTAACTTAAATGATTCCTGGAGCTTGCAAGAAGCCTAAAAATCAGTGAACTTCAACTGTGATGTATGCACTTTCAATTACACAAAGTAGTACACCGTGATTGTAGTTACCTTCAGAAGTGCAGCCTGAGAAATTTCTTATATTCCAGATACCTACTGGTACTATGCCAGTTTAAAATGAAGTTGTGCACTGTCTTGAAGTCTTCCTAGTTAGATTTTATTGACTGATGGACTACCATAAGTTGACTTGCTAAGTTATCTTTCTAAGGATAAGGCACAACTTAACATTGCTTTTAAGGACATCCAAGGGTCATAGACACCTGAAAACCCTTGTTAATAAGCTAAAACATACATCTTCATGAAGACACTTCTGGAAGGTCATTTTCTCCTGCAAAGTTTTCAAATGATTTTCCAGGTCCACCCTTCTCAACATTTCACTATGGAGATGCTTTTTGGCATCTTCCAGTGACAGCTCCAGCTAGAAGAGAAAGACATAAGGGTAGTCAAAATTAAGGTTACTCTTCCAAACTAAGACAGACAACTTATTACAGGTTATTCAATTTAATTCCTACAGCAATCAAAATGCAGTAAGTGAAGTTGACTATTCTACTGGGCCAATTTCTGTGGGATCCAGCACATTTGCAATGAAATGTTATTAATTGTTATGTAGGCCAGATCTCCTGCAGATGATGTATGCAGCCCTGCACTGCACCAGCTAAGCTTTATTTCAAATGCAAAAAAAGTGCTTCTGATGAATAAGTTGTACCATCTGCAAGTATTCTTCCCTTTCACAGTACTAAGTTCTCCCAACTCCTTTCCTTACTTCCCATATAATTTTTATTGATTCTTAACATGAAAACTATTCCAAGTATAAACTTATTTTACTCAAGCTATTGGACAAAAAAGTTTTCATTGTAAAGACCCTGAAGTAGATCAATGATCATATTAAAGAATGAAGATACTGTGTTGGAAAGTACTGACAGAGTAGCAACTTAAACAGCACAAGAGCTCAAAGAAACAGTCAAGTTGTATTCGTTCTGCAGAGATTCAAGCATAATGAAGCAGGGTCCATCAAATCCTCCCTTTACTACAGGGCCTATAGCAGCTCACATTTCATCATTGTTTGTCAGTAGATGAAAATTCATAGCTACTACAGTCATAGAATAGAATTAAAGGTACTTACAACAGCTGGAAGTTTTAATGGACCAACTATTAGCAGCATTTGCTTTCAGCAAGAGGAGAAATCTTTTTTTGTCCACCTGTTACTATCACAGATAATAGCCTTTGCCTGATTTTACTTTTAAATCTCCAACTAGCTTGAGATAAAACAAGCAAATCTTCAGGAGCAAAAGCAAAGTTAAAATTCCAGGAACAAGCCTTACAGTGACTACTTGATCCTTTAACTCACGGAGGCCATTCTCCAAAGTCCGGTTCTCACTCAAAGCTGTTGCCAGGTCAGCTTCCTTTGCGTTCAGCTGAGCATCAAGATCTCTCATACGAGCCTGTGCCAGGTTCAGGTCAGCTTCTTTTTTTGAATTCCTGCAAGTGGAAGTTTCACATTCATAAGTTGCAGCTAGTGAGGGAGAATATTTGCTTTCAGTGTGTTTACCTTTAAGGGGGGGTCTATGGTTGAACTGTATCAGAAGAAAAGTTGAGACTTGTGGTGAGAGCCCAGGGCAGGCTCTATGAAATAAACCAGACAGAGTCACAGACAAGTATCATTTGTTTAACCAGAAAGATTTCTGATCCATTTTCCAGCTGATTGTGTGCAAATCCTATGCAGGATCCAGCTATTTTCCACAGCACTGCCATCAGGAACAGAGTCACATTCAGAATTGGCATTCACTGGACTGCACTCAGCTGCCACTACTGCATCAAGTCCTGAAACAAGACTCCCTTTCAGCAGGGAAGGCAGCTGAGGTGCCCGCCTGCCATTTAAGTGCACCTTTGCTGTGTCTGAGAGCCCCTGCAGCCACCTCACCCAGGTGTGAGCACGACAGCCGTGCTCCTCAGCAAGGGCCACTACCTGAAGGCGGGAGGGCAGTGTGTATGCAGCCCGAGACCGGCTCTCCTGAGGCAGGATGGCAGGCAGTGCTGGTCACACATGGCAAAACACTCCTCCTCTGCACCTGGAGGTAGCAAGCAACTTCTGAGGGCTTCTCTCTGCACCAAGTTCCTCCTCAGCACTGAAGGAGCTCTGGCTCCAGGAGGTCGCCACCTCAGCCAGGCTTGGCCTGCTCCAGCTGCCAGTTCCCGCCACACAGCAGCAAGTCTCCACACAGGCCATCCTCACAGCAGCGTCCCAGCAGAGAGGGCCTCTGCCCTCATGATGGATCACAAACTCTCCTCTCCTTCGTACCTCCACAGTCATGAGGTGAGAACAGCTCAGCTTTCTACAGAATGCCATTTTCTTCAGAAAGTTCTGGCACCTTCTGCTAGCAACCAGTTATCACCACATCCTTAGAGTTGGAGGGGATCTTTAAAGGTCATCAGGTCCAAATCCCCTCCTTCCTTGCAGATGTGAAACTGACTTACAGAGCATTCAGATACCATCTGAATGTTTATGGATTTATTCTTTAAACTTGGCACCACAATAGACAAGTGCTGGGTGCACACCATGTTCCTGTCTTTGAGAGACAGGTGTGATACCCTCCCAGTCTGCTCTGCCTTTTATTCCTGTAGTTACCTGACCTACACTGAGCTGGAGTTCCTTCCTGCTCAGAACACAGATTTGAGATTATAAAGAGTCAAGCATTCCATTTATTTTAGCAAAATCTGTTCTGCCAAGTGGCTAAGTTGTGATAATTTATACAATGAGTTTCCCAGTTGATAACTGTACAGACCAGCTGGAGAGAGTCCAAAGTCCTTCCATGGGAGGGATGGGCTCTAGAAGGCATGGGATACAAGGAAAGATGGAACAAAGTAAGGATTGTTTAGTCTAGAGAACAGAAAAGTGACAGGAGACAGAAGTCTTTTATGTGTGTAAAGACCTCTGCACAGGGGAAGGGAATCTGTTTTCCATGTCTGTTGTGGAAAAGGCAGGAAGTTGTAGGTTTAAATTGCAGGAGAAATATTTGGGTTAGATGTTGGAGGGGAAACTAATGGTAGTTCAAAACTAAAGCACAATGCCTGGGGAAACTCTGGAATCTTCATTACCTGGAATTTAAAAAGGGTCACAAAACATCTGCTAGAAGTGATGCAGGTACACCTGGTTCTGCCATAGGCCGTGAGGTATGGGGCTAGATGAGGTTCTTGCCCAAGGCCTTTTCTAGCTCTGCTATTCAAGGCATTTGTTGATCGCCTCTGTACCTCGTGACCATGATGCATAACCAAATGTTTTACTGGTAGAAGATACTTTTTGCAGAGAGAGTCTATGAATAAAGCAAGTACTGTAGTAGCAATAAGAAGAGATCATATTTCAGTTTTCCCCTTGTATTTACAGATTTCTTTCTTTTCTAGCTTAGAAGTTAACTGCTTTCCTTCTGGGACCATTACTGCTATTACTACTTGTAAGTATTATCTGTGATATTAACATGAAAAATCATACTATCAGAGTGCGTTATGAAAGTACACCTTCTAATAATCTATATATATTTATTGCAATAATGTGCAAGAATAATCCCTTACCCCAGTAAACTGTGAAGTGGACAATTTCATCTTCAATTGCAGCATTTTAAGGTTTGGCTGTGATGCAAAATGATAACAGTGAAGTTATTGGCTACCACGTATCCAATAAATTAAGGTGTCATATACTTGGCCTGGAGAATTTAAGTAATACCTGGGTTCTTTTGGTGAAATATTTAAAACAGACTTGACAAATTTACTTACAATTTCTGTTTGCTACTCTATATTTGAGAAGTTCAGTAGCAAAATACACATTTATACTCACACAGAACAGAACTATGCTTGCTGCTATCTGTAGTGCTACCGTTCCTGCTTTGACCTTCCTCAGACTCTGAATTCAACCAACTGATCTGCTTATCTGCAACTCCTCCTTCCAAAACATCTTTGGCCTACTTCCAATTACACTGTTTAAGGAAAAAAGTGGAGTGCAAGGACATTCAGTTGTTGCTGAAGGTTTAAGTCTCTTCATTAGTGATTAAGAAGAGTCAATAGTTAATGCTGTTGGGAAATTATCTAGTGATATTCCATCCCATAAGAGTTCCAGGTTATTTACGGAATATATATAAAGAGCATGATACCCTCAAAAGATTTTGCTCCCAGTCATCTGAGATATTTGCAATTAGACTGCCCAGTTAAGTAACAGTTAATACTAGGACTTCAGTCCAGTCCATCCAGAAAGCTGCATGTACAATGTATCATTTCCCAGGGGTTGTAAAGTTAACCACTTTAAAACCCAGTTACTCTAAAGAAGTAAATTAGTCTGGAGGATTACATACCTGCCAAGCCTAAAGCTTTTACAAACAAAGCCACTGAGTTATACAAACACAAAGAGCAGCAGAAAGATCTCAGAACTGGCATTAGCCTTTTCCTCACTATCCAATCAAGTGGCTGGTTAGATTTATGAAACAAATTTATGAGCTAAAACCCAGCATGAATGAAACAAACCCAATAACTTCCAAGCAGCTGAAAACCAAAGCTTAGAGTAAAAACATGTTTCATTCCCAAGTAGAACAGCTACTTAAGTCCTACTGAATCAGTAGAAGGCAGAACTTGCTTCATACTATAAATACTAAAAGAAAAAGCTGTTACTGAACAGTGCTATGACAACACTTCATAGCAAGACTTAGAGGAAGGAGGGAAGGAACTGTGGATACACAAGTTACTGAAAGTCTGTAATTCATTTAGTAGTACAATAGGGCATTGAAATAACTGCATACTATACGTAGTTGTATATAACCAGAGAATGTTTACTGTGGTTTTATTCTTGTTCCCTCCTCTTTACTGTCTACTTTCTTCGAGTGCACTTACGTTGGACCATTCCCTTATTCCCCACTTAAGGAAACTAGACAGCAAATTGATTCCAGGCAAGATATACTGGTCATGAAAACATCAAGCCTGAAGTGACAGGCAGGTCGTGCTAGGATAGTTTCTGTGCAGTAGCAGCCTGCAGCAGGAAGGTTATCCTGCTCACAGGACTGTCTGCTCTGTGTATTCCCCCTGGAAATGTCTAAGGGAATAACCCCCAAAGAGAGGTGAACTGACTCTATTCTGAGACTTACTTCCCCTAGCCCCAATAACTTTCTAGATGCCTTCCAGCACAGCAGCTTCTTGGTTGTTTATGAATCACAGGTGCAGTACTAAATGCAGTCAGCTGGGCATTCAGGCAGTACTGGGTCCATAAGGCCTCCCAGCTCCCCAAGCTCTGAGGGAACCCCATGCCCATTACCAGGGAGCTCTAAGGAGCCCAGCAGCACCAGTGTAGAGGTATCACAGCAGTGCCCCTGCAGGGCACACATTAAGACTCCTCCAGGCCCAAATCACACCAACCCCACGTTACCATCCAAACATTTGGGGCCTCACCAAGACCTCACTGCTCTGACAGCACAGAGCCTTCCTCCCGGCACGGGTCCCGGTAAGCAGCATCACCTGCTTCTCCTCGCCCCGAGCAGGGGGTGCCTCCCGGGGAGCCCCGCACCGATCAGGGCCGGCCAGGAGGGCCGGGCACCGACCTGCTGTGCAGCTGCCGGTGCTCCTCGCCGATCTTGCCCAGCTCCACCTGCAGCGCGGCCCGCTCAATAGCGATGTCATCCAGCGCACGGCGGGCGTCGGCCAGCTCCGCCTCGTAGCGGAGCCGCAGGCAGCCCAGCTCCCGGCCGCTACCCGCCTCCAGGTCGACCAGCCGCTGCTGCAGCACCGACTTGTCGGCCTCCAGAGTCCGCACCCGCTCGATGTAGGCGGCCAGGCGGTCATTGAGCTGCCGCAGCTCCTCCTTCTCTTGCAGCCGGCTGAGCCGCGTCGGGCTGATCGGAGAAGCGGCGGCGGCGCCGCGGCTGCGGCTCCCGCTCGCCGGCGTGGATGACAGCGGCGTGGCCATGGCAGCTCGGCCCGAGCCCCGCCGCTCCCAGCACCGCCCCGCGCAGGGCACCCGGCACCGCCGCCGAGTATAAATAGCGGGCAGCTGCCGCCGCGGCCTCCGGAGGTGGGCAGCTTAAAGGGCTACGGCTGCGCCCCGGGGCGCTGCGGCTCCCAGTGGATAATCTCTGCGTTTCGTTTTGGGTTTGCTCTATTTTCTATACACTCTTTGCCATATCTCGTTAGTTTAGCGGCGCTGATCGCAGAGGGCCGAGGAGGAGCCGCTCGGAGCTTAGCGTTGTTAAATACTCTGCGTCGTTAAACAGGGGTCGGGTCATACAGTCCCGAGTTTGGGAGGACGGATGCAGCACAGCTGCTGCTAAGCTCGGGCACACTGCGGCTCTGCGCTCTGCTTCTTCTGCCTGGGTCTTGCAGTTTGCTCAGCTGACGGCAACAGTCCCCTATCTTTGTTTGTTTGTTGCTTATCGGCGTTTTAAGGCTTCAGGCCCGGCTGTAGTACGTCGGAGCTACAGTGTTTCATCAGAAAGCTGATGTAAAGAGTGAGAAGGGGAGGAGAGAAAGTCAGGACAAACGTGTGAAGCGGCTACAAACGTTCGTGCCAATCACACTAAAAAAAATCATTGTGCAGTAGGAAAGTTGTTTTGGCACCTGTCCTGTGATAGTTGCTACTTATCTCCAATAGCAAATTAGCTACTCCTTTTCATTTTCACTTACATTTTGGAGAGCAGGTGCTGCATGGATCTCAATGAATACGAGCATAAATATCTGAACTGTAAATTACGGGGTTTGTTGCAGCAGTTAGAAGAAAGTTCCCTTAAGAGCTTAGGCTAATGCTATTTCCTGCAAAGGCAAATAGCCTTTGCCTATCTACACCATTTATGCAGTCAGGAATTTCTTTGGGCACCCTTCATTTCTTTTTATTTTGCCTGCTCTTTGTCCTAGGCCTATATTCTACGGTATGTTTCATTGGTTTGGTTGGCTTCCTTCTAAGCAACACTTCTCAGCTGCTGCTGTCCCAGAGGCACCAAGAAGTCATTAGATGCTGTGCTTTCACGCTGGAAGCATCTCATATTCTGTTGCTGCTTACTTCCAGTGTCCTAGCAAGGTGGTATTCACTGCAGTCTGAGTGTGTGCTGTTCTGCTGTTGTCAGAGAGCAAGTTGCAGTTTCAGGCTGATATGCTTGATTCACCATCTCAGGCTGTGCTGTTTGTATTTTCCTCTTACGCTCTCTGATCTTTACAGCTTGATTCTACACAAGCAGGTGAACTCCTGCATTTACAGTCTAAATTGTATGACTTGTACTCTCCTAAATACAGCTTTGGTGCCTTAACATCTTCTTAGAGTTCACTAAAAGGAAAGATGGATGTTATGAATGTTGTAGAGGTAAGTTCTAACCAGTCTCCAGGTCCAGAGGCACATCCCATGGACAACAATGAAGTTGGCTCCAAGACAGTAACTAGGAATTTTAGAATTAGGCTATGGGTGCCCTGGTAGATGAAGTAGAGGAAGGAACTGGAGAAGATATGGAAAGATGTTCATCAGGAGGTTATCCCAACTTCCTTACACATTTGCATAAAAAGTGTCAAGGCTACAAATGTATGCAGCACAGTAGTGGTGTATGGCCAGACTGAGCTCTGGTTCTTGTCCTAGCAATAGCATGAGGAAATTATTTTCTGCAAAGCAGTTCCAGTCTTTTTATTTTGCTATAACAAGTACTTGTTTGTTCTTCACTGCCAGTAGAAAACTCAAGTCAAGAAAAATAAAATGTATAATTCAAATCTGAATACGTACCTCTAAGACCAAGATAGGTATGTCTGAGGGCATACTTCAGCTTTGAAACCTCAGTCCTCCAAAAGCAACACTGTGCTCATAGATCCTTGTCATGTTTGACAGTTGCATGCACTGGCCAGCTGTTCAAATACATTGTATGGGTTTGGAACAGACACAGAACAAAGCTAGAAATTGCTATTCCAAGAATATTTTTCTTGCCTGCCAGGGCTTTGTAGCAGTACAAACAAAAACAGCTGGAAGAAATAGTCCAAAAATAGTCTGAGCCAGTTTTATCTGTTGTATGAAGGCATCTTAGCAGTGTGTTAGTGGAATCCAGTTACTGGTTCTTTTTCATGCTGTCTTTTTTTTTTTTTCCTCCTTTTTTTTTTTCTTTTTTTTCTAGGACTGTATCTGCACTGCTTAGACCACAAATGGAGCTGAGGAATTCTTACAGAGATAACCCTATGCCATTTTTTCCTACTGTTTCTAGTATAAAGATGTCAGAACTATATTAGGATTAAGAAGAGATATAGAGCATGTCCGGAAAAGCTGTAGGAAAAGACTTATCAGGCTAAAGCACAGTAAAAGCTTTTCTACAAATAGTTTATTTACAGAAAAATGTAGATATAAGAGATCTGGACAATGTTGTAGATCATACTAAATTGGAATTAGAAAAAAAATGCAAAATATTCATGGGCTTTTTTAAGCATCTTTTTCAGATCTTAAGTTGCTAAAAGTCACTGGAAAGAAGAAAAAAAAAATGGAGTGGTAAAATAAGAGCCAGAAAACATCAACCAAATTTTTTGCTTTCCCTTTCCTTATACATCTGCTAGCCAATTTTCCCCATGTGATCTGCTAAATTAGTTCCAAAATGCTGTTAGGGTTCTGAGTTCATTAACATGCCTTAATGGCCCTGCCTTCCTTCACCTGGGCCACACACCCACACCTCTGCTCCTGGGCACAGGAACTCCATGGCTCTCTGATTGGGATGGTTTTCCTTTTGTGAGCTCAGCTGATGGGTAGATTGATTTTTAGGTTATGTTTATGTTTCCTTTTTTTACTGTAGTTCTCTCTGAGGTCTTTGCTCATTATTGTTGCTCTTTCCAGCCTTTCTGCTCACCTTGCCCAGGAGTTGGTGCAGCTGTGCTCTGCTGACCTTGCTCTCTGACCTGGCTCTGGTCCCTCCTGGGAGGGCAGTTTGTTGGAGCCCTGACTGCTGTAGTCGTGGGTGAGTCCAGATTGGTTGACAGAAGCAGCATTTTTTAGATGCCTTTATGACATGATATGGAATGTTTAAATTTATGTCTACTTTTTAAGTCTTAAATACTTTTGGGACACATTTCAGTAGCTTTTCAGTGTTTTTTTTTGTTTGTTTGTTTCTGACAATCATTCTCCCTATTCGTGAGTGTCTCTTCCTAAATATATTTTGGAAACAAAGCAAGGTGTTACTGGACAACCTTCAGCTTTCGTGGCAATTCAAGGAGTCTGCATCTGCAGCAGTAGTGCTATTTAAAAAGTAAAACATAAGAAGAGCCCTTTGCCAAGCAGCTTATTTATAGGCAGATGTTAGTGACTCACACACGCCTGGAGCTGATGAAACCAGATTGAGTCCCGTTAGCCTGCAGATGGTTGAAGGCTACGGTCAACAGCAGCACTGTGGATATGGAGGCAATGTGAGAGAATTGCTGTCTGCCTACCAGAAAGGTAGAAGGGCAATTACTGTTTCTGTAATGTTAGCAATAATATATAGAGGAAGGCATTTTCTCTGCCTGAGATATCTGCAAGAGTCATTCTTCCATGCAGTACTTCAGCTTCTGCTCCTGCTTCTCTAACTAATTAAGTAGCACAAGTCAGCCAGCTCACAGTGGCTTTTGCCTGTGTTGGAATAACGCTCTTCCAGCAGCTGATAGATCATAAAAGGATAGAAGTGTATTTTGAGCATCGTGAAATAATTTGTAGTGTAGTTAGATGCAAAAGTAAACAATAAGTTTTGTTTAGTAAAAGATATCATATGGATAATATATCTGTTAGTTATGTTTTGTAGTTAATAACTGATAACATTAGGCTGTCTTATTTTCACTGGCGAACAAATTCCATCTGCATGTACAAATGCAGAGAGTCACAGAATCACAGAATATCTTGAGTTAAAGGGATCATAGAATTGAGTTGCAAGTGACCCTCAAAGGCCATCTGCTCTAAATCCCCTGCAGTGAACACAGCACCTGCAGCTGATCCGGTGCTCAGAGCCACTCGAGTGTCTCCAGGGATGGGGCACAGAGCCCAACTTCTGGCTCCACACAGGACTACCCAAAACTTCATCCACATTCCTGATAATGTCGTCCAACCACTCCTTGAACTCTGGCAGCTTGGTGCCATGACCTCTTCCCTTAGGAGTTAATTTCAGTGCCCAACCACGCTCTCAGAGAAGGAGCTACGCATTAGGAACACCTTATATTGGTACAGCAATGACTAGAATCTGGCTTGCTGTCTGAATGTACCTGCTCTTGTCCAGTCTTACATAGAATGTATCTCAATTTCTCTAAGGGGTGTCTACACAGAATGAGAAAAAAGAGGTCATAGCTGAGGCACAGGTCTGCAATAATACAGTCAGTCTATAGATTTTACTAATATCAGCAGCAGACTGAAGAAACTTCAGAAAATTTGACATTCTCTTACAGAGCCAGCAAAGGAGAACAGAAAAGTGGGAAATAAGTTGCGTGGCTGTCTGTTTGTTTTCCAGCAACTATGTATCTCCAAAATGTCAGTGCGGAGCTTCAGAAAACTTTTCCTCTATCCACCAAGTTTTTCTAACCTTTTGTTATCCTCGTTCACTGTCAAGTAGGCTGTATTCACTTCTGTCATCACTGCATCTTAATAAGAACTAGTACATCTGCTGGCTCCCACAGGAGCCAGGAACCTCCTCTGATCCTCCACAACTAAGTCAAATCTGAGTCCCTTGTGACAATGAAATCACTTCCACATCTTTTAGTAGAATATAATAACAAAGTGATCTCCATTATTTTTTTTTCCCAAGCAAGGCTGCTGAGTTGTATTGCATTCATTTTGGAGAGAGCAGATAGCTTACCCTGCTCCTCTTGCACTTGATCCGGTACCTTCACATGAACCTCTTGGCTGCAGCCAGCCTGTGCTGAGGAAAAGGGATGATTTTCCTCTGGTAGATTCAGAGTTCTGTCTCTTAATGAAGACTGTAGTTGTGCAACTCAAGAAAT